ACTTTGGGGATCAAATAGTTTGGTGGTTATGAACAAGGGCTATGGAGTCAAACAGACATAGGCTAAACTCCTGGCTGTGACATCAGTTCTAGCTGTGTGACCTTGGGACTTAAAACCCAAGTGTTCTCATTGGTAAAAATAGGTTTTTGACAATTAAATGAGATTGTGCATATTAAGCACTTCACACATAAAAGCTCAGGGAATATCAGCAACCATCACTAAAAATCAACATTATCAGGTCCATATTCCCTTTCTTCCTAGAATATTTTCCAAGTTTAGAAATGTTGATAGCGAACAACAGCTCTTTTTTTTTTTTTCCCCCTGCAGTGCTGGAAATTGAACCCAGGGCTTCACTCCCACTAGGCATTAGGCAAGCTTCTATTACTGAGCTACATTCCCAGCCAAAGTATTTTTGTATATTACTTTTGCATCTTCACTCTCACTCTACCTACTGTAAACTATACTCAGCCTACAAATAAGTTTGTGCTTTCAAATACTGAGAAAACTTTCTCTGAATGTTAGACCTCTCTTTTTCCTTTATCACAGTCCATATTCAGAAAGTCTACCATCTCATCTCTTTTCTTCCTTCCAAGACTCTTATATTGTTAGTTTTTATTACAAGAGTAGTAGTATATTTGTATTGAAGAAAGTTAGAAAACAAAAACAATTTCAGGAAAGAAAATAAAAGTATCACATTTTGATCTTCAGAAATCTCCACCATGAAAACTTTTGTGTATACCCTTCAACTCTTTTTCTTGCATGTATATTATGTGTATTTATTTTGCCAAAATGAAGTTATTACTCTGTAAACTTTTTTTAATCATTTTGCTTTCTCTTTTCTTCATACTATGGTCATGTTCAGATTTCTAGTTGCCTAAACAATATCATCTATAGATGGTTTCTCCAAACCAGTATCTAATATGTAGCATCTGGTTGTTAAGTCCATTTTGGAAGTCATGATGATAGTTGGTAGTTGGTTAGTTGTTTATTGTTGTGTCTGTGTTTTTTCTAACTCATTTGTTAAAGTGACTAGATCAATTGTCCCAAATATCCTACCTTTTGAATTTGGTTGTTTTCTTGCTTATATATTGTGTATATAATCAACTAGAAATTCTAAAAACTTAGTGGATTCACTTTAAACATTTTTGGGTAGAATATTATAGGTAGTGTGCATTTCTTATGCTTCACATCAAAAAACATATAATGTATAGTTGATTCACTGTTAATAATACTAAAATCAATCCCTGTATTAGAGGTCTGTAATCTCTACTCTGATTCTGATCTATTTACAAATTGAATTTCCCCCTTGCAACCAAAATTAATCTTTGTGGTATTATTTAAGCATGTGTTCTAATTACTATTGCTATGTCACAGGTGACCCCAACCATAGAAAAAATGTTGTATTATTGTACTTATGGATTTACTTCTGTAGGTCAGGACCCAATAGCATATGCTTTGTTCTGCGTTGTCTGAGGCCTCAGCTGGGAAGACTTGAACTGAGGGTATTTCAAAATAGCTAGAGGCGGAGATCATCTGAAGCCTTTTTGTTGTTGTTGTTGTTGTTATTTTTTTGGTTTGGTTTGGTTTTTTTGTGCTGAGGATTGAATCCAGGGCCTTATGCATACTAAATAAGGCCTCATGCATGCTAAGTAAGGCCTCTGCCACCACTGAGCTACATCCCCGGTTGTGAAGCCTTCTTCATTTTCATGTCTAGTTCTTAGGACAGGATAACCCAAAGTGAAACTTGTCTGGGACTGTTGAATAGAGCCCATACATCTTGAGCTTAAGAGACAGCTGGCTCCCAGAGAATGTACACAATGCAAGAATTTCAAGACAACTAGGTAGATGGGTATGGCCTTTTCTGACCTTGGAATCACCTGCAGCTCTTCCACATTTTATTGATTATATACAAGTCACTAAAGCTAGCCAAAAGAAATTAAAATTTACCTCTTATCGAGGGGATGGCAAGATCATACTTTAGAAGAGTGTGTAGGAGGAGAGATTCTTTCAGGACATCTTTGGAATATATAGTCTGCCACAGCATAATTTGATTATCCAGTTCCCCACCAGACATTTACCTAAAAGATTTTTTTGAGGGGGGGGGGTTGCCAGGGGTTGACTCAGGGGCACTCAACCACTGAGCCACATCCCCAGCCCTATTTTGTTTTTATTTACAGACAGGGTCTCACTGAGTTGCTTAGTGCCTTGCCATTGCTGAGCTGGCTTTGAATTTGTGATCTTCCTGCCTCAGCATCCTGAGCCAAGCCCCTGGGATTATAGGCTGCACCACCAAGCCCAGCTTACCTAAGAGTTTTAATAACAGTTGACAACATTGCCATAATCATTTATTATGATTTGAAAAGTGATTTTTAGATAATTTTTTCAATAGCTGCCTCAAGTGATAACAAAAAGCATTTTTATATCCTTCTAATTTTTTAATATCCTATTGGACTCAAACTTTTCATTGATTCAATTCAATATAATCATTGTTCTTTTTAATACTGAAATCATTCCATTTAGTCCACTGAGAACTTCAGAGCTCATTCCTGGGTCCACTTGACAGCTCCATTAATCTACCATCATTAATTTTGACAACCCTCTTGATTTCTAGATGATCTCAAAATTTGTAAAACAATCTCCTATATTTGAGTCTATCCATTTGGTTTCTACCCCTCCCTAATGATATTGTTTACCAGGTATAATTGCCCTTTTTAAATTTTCAGACATTAATCTCTAACATTTGTTGCAGTTGATTACTCTCTTTTTCTTGAAAACCTGCTTTTATTCTCCTGATACAGTGTTCTATTTCTTTGTTTCTGCCCTTTTCCTCTTATCCAAGTATAATTGTTGCCATATTTTACTCAGTGGTCCTCCTTTTTCCCTGTGGTACCTCTTCAGGTGCTTCTAAATATTCCTGTAATGTCATCCATCAGTTCTGTAATCCTACTTTGACCCCGCATTCTAGTATCAGTTTTATTCCCCAACTACTTACTAACATCTTTACACAAATGTCTTGCCAGCTCCTCGAACCCAGTCTGTTTTACCCTCCCTTCCTCTCTTTCCATTCTTGTAGTTCCTTTTAGTCTTTCTATTATTAGTTCCATAGTTCTAAGTTGCCCAACCTTAAAACTTTTGAGTCTTTTTTTTTTTTCTTCCTCCATATTTAATCTGTTACCAAGAATTGGTACATTTACCAGTTCTGGCTCTAATACATTTCTTACACTTCTTTCTTTTTATTCCCATTGCCACGTCCTCTTCCTGAATCTCATTATAGCTTTCTTAGATTCTAACACAAGCCTTTTAACTAGCGTCTTTCCAGTCCCTCTATACCATCCTATCTTTTGCACTACTGCCAGATTAATCTTTCTCAAACAAACCTCTGGTTGTTCATTCCCCTAGATTAAAAAGAAAAGACATACATATTAAAAACAAAAACAAAAAAACTCAAACCTTTATAAAACACACACACACACACACACACACACCTTTAGTGATCCCTGCTGCCTTAGAATGAAATTAAAGCACTTTTTCTCCTGAGCTTCACTGCAAGCTCTAAGACTTACACTTTGAGATCTGCTGTAAATCCCTGCTATACCAGGCATCTACAACACTTACCCCGCTTTATTTTTCTTGTCTTAATTTTCTATCACTATTTTTCTTATGCTCAGGAAAATTAGATTGTGTTCTTTCCCCCAAATATATTTTCTTTCTTTTATGTCTTTGTATTGTTCCTGCCTCCTGCACTGATGCCACCTAACCAGCAACTCCCATCTCAAACCATTCTAAATCCTACTCATTCTTTAAGCCCAACTCAAAGACCAATATGTTCTGTTTGCTCCTTAGCCAAAAATGTTCTTTCTTTCTTCTGAACCCTTGCAGCATTTTGGTCATACCTCTTTACTATGGCTATTCTATATTTTCCTCTATATTATAAGATTTTTGAGAGTATAAATAGTAAGTTTCATGCTTGAAATTTTTATAACACCTAGCATGGTAGCAAGGGATGTACTATAGACCAGAAATACAAAAATAAATCAGATATAGCTCCTGCCTTCAAGTAGCTCAATTCTACTGGGAAGAAAGTCTCTCTTCAGAGTTGTGGTATAATTTGATAAGTATTGTTTTAAAAAAGTATTAACACATGCACATACATAGACATACATACACACACACACACACACACACACACACACACTACTATAATTACATAGAGAATAGATCACTTTATTCCACCAGTGGGATCCAAAATAGGATAGTCAGGATAAGTTTGATGGGTTTGAACTGAGTCTTGAAGGATGAGTTAGGAGTTAAATAATATGAGAGAAACATAGTCCAGAAAGAGGAAATGACATTCAAAGCCACAGTACATGAAACTACATGATATGAGCAATTTTGTATGAATAGATGTGAGGTTTTGTGGAGGTTAGGAGATGTTAAAGGAAGATAAATTGCAAAGAGGTATTAGGTTATTGTAGTTTTTGTTTTATCATAATAATGCCTTATTTTATATGCTCTCGATTTTATAACGCAAATTGATTATTTGCAATTCATAATAATCCCTTTTTAGAAGGCAGCATCTTAGTTATTTAATGAAAGAAGCAGACAGTGCTCTGTGACTCTATTAGAAAATAACAAGTTAAATTCTGTTCTTAGAAAATAGAGTATTAATTGAAATTTTGTTCTTAGTATTGTAAATTTCTTCTTTAAGCCTAATTCTTTTATTAACAGTTCCTGGCATTTCCTCAGTAATATGTATTGTCAAACAGTCCTTAGTTTGAATTTTTAATGTATATTTTAATAATAATTGGTAAATGTTTTTTAAAAATCTGATTTTAGGATGGCTTTTTAAAATGGTGTGACATCCAACTGATATAGAGCATCCTATTTATAATGTGGGCCAAGCACCATGCTGTAAACCAGTTACTATCATGATGATCAGATTGAAAATGAAATTGCATTTCTGTCAATTACTGAGTTGGCAACTGTTCAATATATCTTAGCAGCAAGATGAAGAGCGACGTCGGCAGCTGAGAGAGAGAGCTCGTCAGCTAATAGCAGAAGCTCGATCTGGAGTGAAGATGTCAGAACTTCCTAGCTATGGTGAAATGGCTGCAGAAAAGTTGAAAGAAAGGTCAAAGGCATCTGGAGGTGAGTTAAAGAATCTTGTATCATATTCTACAGACAACCCAGAAATCTGCAGTGGACCTTTTAGGACTTTTTATTTTTACTTTAAAATATTGCATCAAAAACAAAGTTTCTAAAATATTGATATGTTGCAAAAAACCTACAGGAAATGTAGTAAATCAGAAGATAACTGTTGCTATTTCCAAAACAACCTTTTCACTTTATGGTTTACTACTATTAAAAGAATATTTCTTGAGTTGTGATACTCCATGATACCTCATGAATTGCATAAGAAGTAAGTAAAATGCAATCAAATCCTCAATATCTAGATCATTAAGACTTGTTAGGGGTGAGCTTTGACATAAAAGACTTTAACTTTGTGGGCTGGGGTTGTGGCTCAGCAGTAGAGTGCTCACCTCACACATGTAAGGCCCTGGGTTCGATCCTCAGAACCACATAAAAATAAATAAAATATGTTAAAAGAAAAAAAATCCTCTTTAAAAAATAAAATGCTTTAACTTTGGTTTGATGCTGTGGATTGAACCTAGGGCCCCAAGATTTACACTTAAAACAAGATCTTTTAAAAGTAGTTTTCATAATACTATGGCATTGTAGCCTAGGATGTAAAATTTTTGAATAAATTCCATATCCATTTCCTTTTAGTCTCCTTACTCTGAAAGAGTCTTCCTCAATATTTATAGAGATTATTCTAAGCTTAATTTTGGGACAAGGACTATATAAAGAGAAATTTAATTTTACCTTTCAGAGTCCAATTTGATCATTTTTAATTTGTAAATTTTTACATTTAAGAAACCTATGGGCTTTTTATTTCAAAGGTACATAACCTATTTATCTACCAAAACATGCTAGGTACTTGTCCTGAATTAATCTTAGAATGTTAAGATTACCCTGAAGAGCAGGCAAGTGAGGACTTGAATAAGACCTTAGAGAGCTGAAACAAAGGTAAGCTATTTCTAGGCCAATCATAAGTTTTTTCAAAGTAAACTGGAACTTACTGCTGTTATTTCAAATTGAATCCTTATATTAAAAGCTTACTGTTGTAGAGAATTCTAACTAATGCCTATGGCATCTAGCCTTCCAGTCCATAAATTTGAAAGTTTTCTTCTCCCAAGCACTTGTATATCTGTCCTTGTGGACATCTAAGAACATGGATATCTTGGTTAAATCCTTCGTCTTACATTTTCAACTCCTATTATTCAGGACTGTTATTGTATCTTCTTTTTTTCTTTCTTTCTAGGTAATCACTATACCACTAACTACATCCTGGCCCTATCGTTACAGTTTCTCCACTCTACTAGAGTTTATAATGATGTCAATAACTGCTCTTATAATGCTATAATAATTTGCTTAGATTTATTATCATTATTTTTTTTAGTTTTTTTAGATTTATTATTAATAGCAAGGTATTTCTTTTATCATAAGAATTCCAGATATTCAAAGTAACCGTTAGAAACATTTGCTTTCTTATATCTCTGAATGATGGAAAAATCTCTCATTCTTTATCCTCCAGATACACTATCCTAATGCTGCTGTAAATACCACATTCCTATGTCATCATAAAGCCAGGTATGAGAATAGTAATAGTAGGATGGAGAGGGATCCAATGTCATTTGGCAGTTAACAATGCCAAATGAATATAAACTCTAGGAAGGCTAAGAATTAAAAAATTGTAATTAATAGTGTGGCATAGGTTAGCTATGTAGTTGGTCCTATTTTTATAATACAACCCCAGATGAGGGTATGCCAAGACTAGACTAAGCAAAGAGACTTTGTCAGTGTTATAACCCAAAAAAATCTTCCCTTCAATGAAGAAAGCAATGACCTGAATTTGGCATTATTCAACAGTCAAGGTAAATAAAATAAACAAAGTAAATAAATGAGGATTGGATCAGTAGAGTTCGCAAGGAAGTACAGATTAGAATAGGAACAGTCAGGTGAAATAAAAAGGAGGCAGGATTTGACAGATAATTTATGAGAATATGCTGAAGAGTTAGCTTCCTTATTGCCTAAGGAGTCCAAAGTGACCAAAGTCCATTTCTCCCATAGGACACAGCTTGCCTTGGACATTAGAAACAGCCATGTATCAGATAGTAGTCTTTTTTTTTTCCCCCAGTACATTTCAATAACTGAGGGCCTTGTGCAAAATAAGCAAGTCCTCTACCACTGCGGTATATCCCAGCCCCTTTTTTAAATTTTATTTTGAGATATAGGGTATTGCTAAGTTGCCCAGGCTAGTCTGGAACTCGAACTTCTCTGCCTCCATCTCCAGTGATGGTAGACTTTTAATGAGAACTGAGGTTGACTGACCTAAGACAAGTGGAGCAGGTCTATTCCCCAACCTCAGTGGTATGTTTTAGCCTGTATCATTAAATAATATGGATCAGATTATGTCTGCATTGGCCTCAAAGTCTAAGCTAAAGCTATTGAGACTATCAGTACAAGAGAGACCTTTAGGACAAGGGGAAGGGTAAAAGTCCCACCTGAAGTTCAGCCATTCATAATATGTATTTATCTATCGAGCAGTACCAGCCACCGTGTCAGGATTTGTAGGCCATATGGTCTCTGTCCTAACTACTCAACTCTGCCCTTATAGCCTGAAAGCAGCCTTAAACAATATTTTAATGCATGGGCATGGGCTGTTATTTACCCCCTCAAGGCAGGGGCTGGATTTTGCCTCTGACCTGTAATTTATGCACCTCTACCTAGCAAATTCAGAATTCACTTGGATTCACAAGAATCCGGTTCCTAAGTGAAAATAACCCTAGTCAGTTTAGTAAGTCAAGGAAAAGAATAACTAATCTGAATCATTATGTCTGACAAGAATTTTGCTAAGTTATAATGTGAAAGGAAGAAAGAGAAATAATTTGAGACCAGCCTGGGTGAAGTATGAGGGTAGGAAGATTTTAGTACTAGTGGTCTAGAGTGACAAAGAGCAGAGTAGAGTGAAGACCTGACATAATTAGATGGATGCACACCCTGGGAACGTGATCAGCACTCACACCCACTGCTTGAACTCACTTGAAAAAGTTCTCTTTTTTCTATTCTCAAACAGCATGCTGCCAGCCTCAGTGCAAAAAGTTTTGAGTTTTGAGATAAGTTGTCTTTAACTTCATGATGTCCGCAGAAAATACATGCAAGATATTTACAGATGTATAGCCATGTGATCAAGCAACCCACTTACATTCTGTTACAACCAGAAATAGTCTAATTCTTGTGTAAATAACAGAACTGTACTTTTCCTGGATTCTGTACCCTAGCTTTTACTAATCTTTCATTTGACATCCTTCTTGGGCTTATGGAGAATCAGGTATTTGTGATGTACTGCACATGGTTTTTTCAGCATCATTTTGTAGTTATATGCCTATAATGGCCTCATTTGAAAAATTCTCAATCTATGTAACAAACTTTGGGTCCATTTTATTGCATCTTACTTGTAAGGAAAAGGTGTTTGGGGACAAAGTTAAGTGTTTTTATTTTTAGTTGAATGATAATGTGGCCAGAGAATGTGCCCTGAATTTCTGCTTTACGAATTTATCAAGATTTCATCTTGGCCAAATAAATGTTAAATTTTTTTTAATGGTTCATAAATACTTTTGCAAGAAAGGTACCTACCTTGTTTTAAGATTATATTATACTCATATATTGTGTATTATAATGTATATTTGTGTACTATATTTTTTATATATGTGTTCCATAGCTTACAGCTTTAGTTTGAGTTAGGTTAATATAGTTTAAATTTAAACTGACGTTTTTACCTCTCTTTGGCTCAGATATGATAGTGTTGTGGTTTTAAATTTCAAATAAATAAGGCAAATACTTTTTTGTTGTGTCAATGAAAATGTCTGTGTGCCTACATGGTTCTTATCATTTTCAGTTATGGAAAATAGATTTATCTAAATTTGTTGAAATAAAATCTTAAGAGCCTTCACTAATTTTTACTTTCAGCTTTTATCAATAGTGTAATATTTGTATTGTGTTTTCTATCTTTTGTTTGATTTCTTTAGAATTAAAAGTTGTGTTTTTAGCCAAATAGAGTGTTGCACACCTATAATTCCAGCTACTCAGGAGGCTGAGGCAGGAGGATTGTAAGTTGGAGGATGATCTGTGCAACTTTAATGAGACCCTATCTCAAAATAAAATAAAAAGAACTGAGCATGTAGCTCAGTGGTAGAGCTCTTACCTGACTTGCATGAGGCCCTGGGTTCAATGCCAAGTACTATGGGGGAAAAAAGTTGTGAACTTAATGCGGATATTTGCTGAGAATATAAAAATCATAACAATTTTTATCTGAATATGTTTTTTTAATTTTTCTGAATATATTTTAAATGATAACCTCAGTTTCTTTTTTAGCATTGCAGATATTCTTTTCATTTTTGTCACCAAATCATTATTTCATTCAATTTTTCCATAAAGGAAAAGTATACAATTGACCTTATTTCAGTGCTATTAATCACACTTTTGAGATCCATATTTTGCCTATATTGTGTAGTGTATTCTGGAATACATTTTTCACATTTCAATGCATATGTAATATTCTTTTACCTTTTCTTATGCATATATTATATATGATACTTGCAAAACAGCTTTAGCTATAGAATAAATCTCTAGTTTACTTTCTGCCTGGCTCAACTACTGGGTTTGAAATGGTTAGTCATAAAGATGTGTATCTCTGTGTCTGTAGTATGTTTAAACATACACTTGCACATGTACTTTAGTTCTGCTAGAATGCATTTAGAACATTTCTATAGTTGTTAGGAAATTGTAATATTAACTGCTAAAAAATAGTTCAAAGTTGATCGTAAAACTGAAGTTACCAAATGGAAAGAAAGAAGAAATTCATTCTTAAGAATACCTAAACTGTATAAGAGACCAGTTTTTACTCTTACCCTCCCAAGAAGTAATCCTTTTATCTAAGGTTAGCAATACATATGTAAACTTTGAATTAACTTACTTACTTAGCACTACTGTGAGTGGTAGTGTAGATAGAGGTTTCATTTAACCTG